ACACACACACACACATGCACACACACACACACACACACACTCTCTCAATCTGGTTCTCTTCTCTCCTCTCTCTTTATCTAAATATATACATAGGAACTGACAAATCAATTGATATGTGCCTAATTTTCTTGCATCCTCCCCACATAGCTGGACGGTGGCGCTTGCCGTTACCCATCTCCAAAGGCCTCTGGAGAACCGCAACGGCGGCAACGCCACATGTGTACCTAATTGGAATCCAGCTGAGGCAAGAATTATAACTTGTAAGTTTTAAACCGAATGTAATATAATAGAATAGACAAGCCACTAGTGTGCGCTTGCTATAGCCGAACAAGCTTCAACAAATTTTCGCTGGCCTTCTTCATTGAAGGCCTTTCTGGATAATATGAATGCTGTGCCCAAATAGGGGATACGAACATCTAAACAGAAAGCGATCCAATGATGACTTTTGCAGCAGACATTCGAGTATAGCGTGTTTGTCTTCAGGTGAGAGGAGGCGAACAACGGTGAAGAAAAGACTAGGGCACTCCCTGATGCACTGGAGGAAAGGGGGGGGAGACCAGTGACACAGTACTGGCTGTTGGCTGCCCCCCCTTGATGCTGAGTACAGCAATAGCAGGGTACTATTTCCCTGAGATGTGGTCTATACGCCTGGGGGCAGTACGACATACCCCCTTCCTTGGGGAAGGAGGTGGTCAGCGTGTGCAGCAAACAGTCGAGTATAGGCTTTTTGTTGTACGGCGAGAGTAGGCGGACAACGGTGAAGAAAAGATTAGGAAGAGGGGAGAACAATGACCCACAACTGGATGTGGTGTCCTCGATGCAATACAATCATAGTGCCATATCATTTCCCTACCAAGCTGTCTATGTTTGGGGCAGTTTGACATAGCCTTCCGTGGGGAAAGCGGTGCAGTTCCAATCCTTCTACATGTTGTTATAACAGATTAGAATCTACAGACAGCCTGCCAAAAGCCCTTGTCACACATTTCCCATGCGTGAACAGCTCTACTACCCCACTTGAGCACCCCCAGTCAGAGACCCATCTGCACCCCTGTCCAGGCCTGCCAGTCAGAGAGCTTTGACAGAGACCTCAGAAATAGAAAAGGATAGTCCAAAATTTGAAACTACATGAGAGACAGATGGCAGGCGGAATGGCACTGCGGGGGTACGGGAGAAGAGGTTTGAACGCACCACCGTCGTGCGCAAAGAAGCAGCTGCACCGTCGTGCACAAAGAAGTGAATGCACCGTCGTGCACAAAGACGCAAAGAAACGGATGCACCGTTGTGCGCAAGGACGTAAAAGTGAATGCCCCGTCGTGCACAAAGAAACGAATGCACCGTCGTGCGTAAGGACGAAAAAAAGGGAATGCACCGTCGCGCGGAAAGAAGTGGCGGATGCACTGTCGTGCGCAAAAGCGGATGCACCCCGTCATGCACACAGAAGCGGATGCACCGTCGTGCGCAAAGACGCAAAGAAGCGAATGCACCGTCGTGTGCAAGGACACAAAGGAGCGAATGCACCGTCGTGCGCAAAGAAGCAGATGCACCCCGTGGGGCGCAAGGAAGCGGCGGTCTTGTGGGAAGAAGTGCACGTCTAACTTTTAGTCCAGAACATATAGCATAGGGTCTAGAGTCTAATCAACCAAGATGGCAACATATAGATACTGACAAACGCACACAGACATGTAGGTGCATATACCTTCTTCAACTCACCACCCACACACAAACAGAGAGAGAGAGAGAGAGAGAGAGAGAGAGAGAGAGAGAGAGAGAGAGAGAG